CTCAGCCACTCTGAGGAAACGTCCGATCGGATGCTGCTCGGGAGCAGAATCTCGTGTTTGGTTTGTGATTAATAATCCTCCGCGTGAATGAGATGAAGCAGCAGCTCCCTGATCGCTCACCGGGGGGCAGCGTCACCCAGAGAGAGGAGCCAGGCAGAGAGAGAGAGAGAGAGAGAGAGGGAGGGAGGGAGGGAGAGAGAGAGGGAGGGAGGGTCTGTCACCTGAAACATAAAGTGCCAACAAGCTCTGACTCGGCACAACTGTTGGCCTCGCTCTGCTTCGCTTTGGGGTCGTTGACAAACTAAATAACAGAAGTGAGCCAGAGCCCATGAGCAGGATCTACCGGCTCCGTGTTTCAGAGACGAGCCGCATGCAGGAAGAGGGGAGCGGACGACAGCAGTGCAGATTGCATAGAATTAACAGTTCAGCGTCTCTCAGGAGTCGCCTGCTCCTGGACTCTGCACACTGCCACCCAGGATCTCTCTCTCTCTCTCTCTCTCTCTGCTACCACACGACCAGGAGGAGGCTCTGGTCGAGTTTTTCTGCTTACGATTGTGTGTTTCTTATATAAATAAAAGCCGGGTGGAGCGACGTGCATGTGTGCAGCTGATCTGCGTGGGTTCTGGTGAGTGTTAGCAGCATGCTAGGCTACGGTGGGTGAGCTCTACAGCGCAGCCAGCTGTTTGCAGGGCGTCACGGGTCCACGTCCTCGACCCCCCGGCTCAGCCGCTGAGAGGATGCAGATCCACCTTCACCTTCTCGCCGCTGCTCAGCATCCCCACGGTGGGATAGAGGCCACCAGGGGGCACCGCCATCTCCCTCCGGCCCATCAGCTTCCCGTTCCTTGTGAAGAACACCTGCGGGAGCACAGGGGGGCGACAGCGAGTTCAGACAAACAGACACAAAGCTTGAAGTGAAGGTAAATCCTCAGATGCAGCGATGGAGGAATCAGTCACGAAAGACAAGTCTTACGTAACGACTCTTAAACAAACTTCATCCGAGGACTCGATGTGCCGGTTGTAAACAAGAATTATGTGCAGGTAGGATACTGTTAAGTCAATAGGTGACATTGTAAAGTCCGTCTTCTCGTGGGGGTGAAAAGTCAATGTTTACAGAACGCGTCTCCACTAAATCAGCGAGTGATCAAACATCATCCAGCTGTTCTCAAAGGAACACCAACAAGCTTTTCGATGCTAATTCCCGAGGGCTTCGCTCCAAGTCTGAAAACAAATAGTGACACACTAGGAACAACAAGACAAGCACAGTGAAGTGTGCGTCTTCAATTAATCCGTCTGAGTCACACATCAAACATTCACTGTGCCACCCACTCCCGAAACGAAAGGCTCCACCGCTGCTCACCTGCTGGTGGAGGTGTGCGACTGGTTTCATAGGTTGGAGCAACACACACTCACACACGTGCAGCCACGCCCATAGTGGCCCTCTGTGATGTTGTGGAGCGTTGCACTGTGGGTAAATGTGTCCTGCTGGATAAATATTGACAAATCCCTGGATTATGGTTCAGCCTCTTCCTTCTCACCCACTTGGGTTTCAGCAGCGTGTAGCTGCAGCAGCGCTGTGAAACCCCACCTGCACATTTTCTCAGCAGCTTCGACTCGAGACAAAGCGAAACCGGAACAATTAAAAATAAATAAATAAATAAATAAATAAACTAAACGTGGTTAATTTCCCGCTCAACAAAACGTAGAATTAGAATTCCGTCAGTGGAGGTTTTTACCAGCAGGAGAAATAACCGCAGAGCTTCTCAAAACAAACATCATCTGAATAAAATTAAAACTTAAACCCTGAAACTAAAGTCAGTGCAGTTCGAGTCTATGTAAGAAAAGTTCCGAGGCGCATATGAGGTCACAGTGACGCTGTAACAGATAATCAGGAGTGATTCTCTTGTTGATTCACAACAACCTGAGGTTACGTGACCTTGACCTTTGACCTCCAACATCCATCAAGTTCATCTTCGCATCCAAGAGGACGAGCACGTTTATATTCTGTTCTTCATTAAGTCGTGCGGATTTTCTCTTTTGTGGACGAGACCCCTGAACGCCTCAGCTCCGTGCGTCGCAGCGAGGCGCAGTGAGGTCGGGCGTATGTGTGGTATATTTAGATCCACGGTAACGGGTCCCGCAGGAGCCGTGTTACGGCAGAATATGAAAGTATTCATTATGATGCAAGTCTCTGGGGTTCCTGCTTTTATAAGTCATGTGAAATAAATGCTGTAGTCCTGCGGAGTGTTGCTCTGCAGGTAGAGCTGCCAAAAACAAGATTAATATATGTTAAAGGTACCCAGTGGAGGTTCTGAACACCGTGGAGCCATAATGTTTTTACAGGTGGGTCTCTGGGTGGTTGTTCTCATGCGCACACGAGCACACGAGCACATGCGTGAACAGACACATGTAAAGATAGTCCACTGATCTACAGATGCTGGTGATGCACTAAATTAGCAGATTTGTAATTGTGTGAAAGAATCTGTTAACGTCTCGTGAGATTTGAAGATGAATCCGTAGATAAATAATCAGGTTTTCATCAACTCTGACGACGAGGTTTTGTTTTTTCTCATTCGATTCTTCAGCCTCTCGCAGAAACCAGTTCGGATACTTCACATATTATCACAGGATTATAACGACAACTGCAACGAGAGCCGGAGGAAACAACCCACGAGACGTGCCGCCCTCCCCGCCTCGTTTCTCCGCCATATTGCGTCCTGTCAACACCACATGCGCAATGCATGATGGTATTTATTGCTCGGTTGTAGAGTAGTTTTCAAGATGTACTGTGGGATGACAAGTCATTGATTTCAGACACAGCCCAAGTTTCTGTTTGCGTCTGCTGCACTCACACTATCACACAGAATCAAAGTTTATAAAGTCGTCCTGCGACTCCATAATATTCTAATTATATTATAATATAAGTTTCACAGCTGTTTATTCTTAATTTGATGAATTAACTGAGTAAAAGTGGAATTTATTCAGATGTAACTGGAGAAGTTTTGTAAATACTGTTCATCACACTGGATGAAATATAGAACATATAATATAAAGTCAGTATTTCTCACCATGACCTTCCTTCCCTCCTGTCCCTGCTCTGCCTCTTCCCCGTCTTCTTCTTCCTCCTCCTCTTCCTCCTCTTCTTCGTTGAGGTACAGGACGTTCTGGACGCCTGCAGGACCCGGACGGACCTCGGGCCGATCCCAGTCGTCCACGTCACCTGAGGACAGTAAACAGAGCGCGGGCGTTCACACAAGAGCAGAGCACAGGTGACTGATTAAATACCAGGTTAGAGAGTTCAGACGTTTTTCACAAAAGGAAATGTTGAGTGTTGTTTGAAGCGTCTGGTGGAGGAAGTACTCAAACATTTTACTGAAGTAAAAGTACAAATAAATAGACAAAGACGCACCCAAGTGCAGGTAGAAGTACTCGCCACGTGTAGCCTATCAGCTAATGGAACAGTCGACTGCATCTCTGCTGTATATTTGATTCAACACAAGAATAATAGAAACTAAAGAAGCTGCAGATGATGAAAACATTTAGTCAGATTTATTAAAGCCGGAGTTTCAGCCTCCTCTCAAACTATTTTAGAAGTTTCCTCTTCACCCGTGACCCCGCTGATGCAGGAGGCGGAGTCTAACGTTAGCTGCTGGTTCTGATTGGATCAGTGTATAAAAAAAAAGATGTACAACATCGCACTGTTTAAATTCAGTGGAGGAAAAAGTACAGATATTTGCTGATGTATATTTAGAAACGTAGTGAAACCACCTGAGAGTAGAAACGTTAAGTATTTATCTTTCATGGAAAAGATGGAGGATGAGAGCTTCACCTGTAGGTGACTGCTCAGGTTTCCGTGCGGGGGGGAGGGAGACTTTAGTTAGTATCCAGTTTCTTTCCAAACTCAACACAATGGACCTCTGTTAAGACCGAATGTTGCAGCAACTGTCTTATGCTAAACCACGATAATTAGGGTGAAGAGCGAAACCTCCCACGAACACGTCAAGCGCTTTTAATGAGTGACAACATAATTCTACCACCTGAACCCACTGCTCTCACCTTCTCCGTCCAGGATGTAGTCTCGTGGGAACATGATGCCGCAGCCCATGATGTCGCCTTTGATGCAGCGAGGGCCAAAAGCGTCGCCGACGCCGCTGCCGTGAAAGATCTTCCCATCATCTGTTCGGGGGAAGAGGAGAAGACAAGAACTGAATTGCGTTGTTATTAGTTCAATTAAACTACATGATGCAACTGTGTGGGTGAACCTGCGAGAGAGGTTTCTGCAACAATCTTTCACAATCGAACCTGCCGACGTTCGAAAGTCTGATGAAGAACCAAGTGAGCAAAGAGAGGCGGGTTTATTTGTTCAGCGCCTTCTAACAATCAGACAATTCAAAGAGCTTTCAATGAGATTTAGAATCAGGACGAACTGGAAAAGCAAAATAAGACGATACACAAAAAAAAACTGAGAGTAAAATTAAAGAGAGTTACAGAGAGAATCAAAATCTGTTTAAATAAAAATGTGTCATTTATTAAAGGTCAAACCAGAAAGTCCTCTGATTGATTCAGGGAGACCCAGAGTTCTTTAACGATTCATTATTATATTACGTCATTAAATATTTCCTGCAGTACAAAAACAACAAATCCTAAGAACAGAATGAATTGAGTGAACGTGACCTGGATCAGGTGAAGTTAGTCTCTTAGAAGAGGATTAGATTCGTTATCAATCGTTAAAAGATTCATTCGATGCTCGTTGGTAAAGTGAAGAAGTTTCACCAAATCTACAACACAGAATATGAGACCAACTCCTCCTGCAACTAATCAAAAGAAAAATCATCAGACTCAAGTCAGCGACAGTAAATCTGATGAAAACATCTCTGATCCACTGTAACAACTGTGTAGTACATACAAAAGTACACACAAGAAAATATCCCATTGAGTTTAAGAGTTTTTGGTCCCACTGCTGAGATTAATGTAAAGATAATGTGTTTACCTGTCTAACATGTGCACGTGTAACGCAGCACTAACATACAGGACATCCGGACATTCCAGTCAGACGATGATGTGTAAAGGTGAAAGCAGGCCGAGTTTAAAAAACACTTCTCAACCCCCCCAACGGGAAC